CCAGATGCAGCTGTCCCAGAATCGTAAGCCAAATAAACCTCTTTCCTTTATAAATTACCCAGTCTCAGGTATTTCTGTTATAGCAACACAAAATGGACTAAAACATAATCTATCAAGGATAATAAAAGAAAGAAAATTATAGATTAGTCTGATTATTAACATAGATGAACAACTCCTAAACAAAATATTAGCAAACTGTACCTGGTTATTTATAACTAGCTTGGCCACATTGAGTTTATCCTAGGAATGAAAGGTTATTTTCGCATTAGAAAAATCAGTCAGTATGTTTTACCACATTAACAGACTAGGGAAAAAAAAAGTTCAAATGAGTATCTCAGTGTATGAAGACAAAGATAAAATTCAGCATTTATTCATGTTATAAACTCTTAGGAAACTAGAACTAGGAGAGAACTTCTTTAATCAGATGAAAGTTTTCCAAAAAATAAAAACATAAAACCAACCAACTGTACATGCTAAGATGAAATGCTGACTTCCTTCCTTGGGGGAGAAGGCCCACTACTACTGTTGTTATTAAACATAGTGCTAGAAGCTCTAGCCAATGCAGTAAAGCAAGAAAAAGAAAGAAAAGGTATAACTATGGAAAGAAATAAAACTGTCATTACTCATAGATGATATAATTGTGTAAATAATTTATCTATAGATTCTTTTGAAGTTTTCAGAAAATTTAAAAGGTGTGACAACAAAAAAAATTTTTTAAGTTAATTCTGTTTCTATATGCTAACAAACCAACCTTTAGACAATGAAATTAATAGCAAATGCCATTTATAATAGAATCAAAAAACAGAAAGTTCCTGAGTTAAATTTGACCAAAACAACTATAAGACCTCTGGGGGAAACCTATGAAACTTAATGGAGAGAGTATGTTATATGTGAATGTATGCCATAGTGTTGTAACTTGAAAGTCTAACTTTAAAATTTTTATGGAAATACAAATTATCTAGAATAACCAAGATATTCTTGCAAAAGAACAAGATGGGTGACTTGGCCTGCCAAGTAGCAAGATTTATTACAAACCCATAGTAACTAAGACCTGTGTCACTGGTACAGGAATAAACAAACCAAGGGAACAGAATAGAGAACCCATGCATGTATGGATACTTGAACTCTGATCACTGAGGGAAGGACAGCTTTTTAAATGAATCTTTCTGGAGCAATTGAATATCCATACAGTAAATGTAAATTCAGATCTCTATCTTTTACTGGGTGCAAAAAAATAAACATTAATTCTAGGTGGATTAGTGACCTAAACGTGAAAAGCAAAACTTACAAAACTTTTAAAGGGTTTAGAAGATAATATGGGAGAATGTCATTAATACTTCAGGGTTGGGAAAGATTTCTTTTTTTTTTTCTTTTTGACCAGTAAGGGGATCGCAACCTTTGGCTCAGTGTCGTCCGCAACATGCTCAGCCAGTGAGTGCACCTGCCATTCCTATATAGGATCCGAACCTGCGGCCTCAGTGCTATCAGCATCGCACTCTCCCGAGTGACCCACGGGCCTGGCCCAGGAAAGATTGCTTAAACAGGATATAAAAAGCTCTAAAGGAGAAGATTGATAAATTGTACTACATTAAAATTAAGAACTTGGGTTTATCAGAAGATGCCATTAAGAGTGAACAGATAGTCTCAGAGTGAGAGGAGATATTTGCAATATGCAATTGAAGCATAATAGTATCCAAAATGTATGAAGAATGAATCAGAATGAATATTTACCCTTAGGGCAGGGTTGAGGGAGAGATTGATGGGGAAGGAATGCACAGGAGGCTTGGTGGTTTCAAATGTTCTCATTCTTGAGAGGATGTTACTTTTCTTTAAACTGAAAGTATGTTTTATACATTTATCTGTATATATGCACATTTCTTTAAAAATGGGGAGAAATGAAAACAAAAAATGTAGTTACCGATTTTATAAGTTGGCTAGTGCTGCCATAATAAAATACCCACACACTGGGTGGCTTAAACAATAGAAATTCATTTATCATAGTTCTAATGACTTGGAAGTCCAAGATCAAGATGTTGGCAGGTGTGGTTTCTCTCGGGGCCTCTCTCCTTGGCTTGCAGTTGGCCACCTCTCTATGTCCTGACATCGTCTTTTCTTTGTGTGGGAGCATCCCTCGTGTCTTTGTGTGTCCAGGTTTCCTCTTCTCACAAGGACACCAGTCAGATTGGATTAGTGCCCACCCTAAGGAACTCATTTTAACATAATCACCTTAAAGGCCCTGTCTCCAAATACAGTCATGTTCTGAGCTACTAGGGGTTAGGGTTTCAACATATGAATTTTGGAGCTGACACAATTCCACCCATAACACTGATTATGTAGTAACGATCTTGAATAGCAAATGGTTTTTGTGGTTTGGATAACCCAATTTTTGGATTCAAAAAGTACTATATTTAAAAAAATCTAAGACAGAAGTAAAGATATGCTCTGGAGTGTTAAATGACTCAAAATACAGATTTAGTGCTGATGATGTTAATTATACATATGTGAACTTGGAATACAATTATTTTTTGAAAATCTGAAAGTGATAAAAAGCAGTTTCTAGATTAAAGCTTTTTACTATTTTACCTAAATACTTTAAATGTATAACCAAATGAATAAATGTAATATTATAAGTAGATCTTTTAGTCTCATCTCCATCCCTGACATTTGTAAATTGTAGTTGGCCAGAAATTTTTTTGAAAATCTTCTCTCTGGAAGAAGACAAGATGACTTTTATTTGGTCGTATATGGTAATTTTACTACTGTAAGCTCTGCTGTAATGCAGTATGTGCATTCCTAAAAATCAATTCACTATGTAAAACCATGCAATAAAACCACAGAGCTTATGGGAAAATGGGAGCACAATACTCAAAAACTTTGTGACATTTATAAAAGGATAGGAACCTAATAAAAATAGCAGAACAGTTTTATGCCTGTGAAATTGTTAAGAAATACATAAATACTATGGTAAATATAGCACTTGACTTTGAAAGAGACCTTAAGTTTTCTTGTGGAAGTGAGCATCAGAAAGGTTGCAGAATGTCAGATACTGTGAAGTGACGGAGGGAGGGCCTCTGAAATTGTAGGGAATGTTGTAATACCAGATGTGGATGGGTGTGGCTCATCACACGTGATAAACTGAGGTAGCTGGAATGTTTGATGGGTGTGTGTGTTTTGCGTATTTTCCTTCGGGGCTTGGTTCAGCTGGGTTCAGTTTTCTGGTTGACCTAGGGTTTCTGGCAGATAAAAGTCATGCATTAAGAAACAAATTTCTTGCTGTGCTCAAATTGTTCCTTAATGTGTCAGTGATGTGGAACAAATTTGTGGGGGTTTTTTTTTTTTTTTTTTTTTTGACTGGTAAGGGGATCGCAACTCACCTCAGCACGGTGTCGTCCCCACCATGCTCAGCCAGTGAGTGCACCAGCCATCCCTATATAGGATCCGAACCCATGGCCTCAGCGCTCCCAGTGCCGCACTCTCCCGAGTGAGCCACGGGGCCGGCCCCAAATTTGTGTTTTGAAACAGAACTTACTGTACTTAATTTATTTTATCATTTGCAACCCCTCCATCACTTCATTTTTATATGTTTTATAAGGATTCTGAATTAGCTCTTTTTACTACAGTTTTGAAATGACCTCCTGATATTTGACTACTACATAACATCTTAAGTGTCTTGGTGAATTTTAAGTTTTTCTAGGCTAATGAATAGGTAATTTGGATGTGGAGTCAGATTTTTGCTTGAATCTGGTGGTTGATTAAGGTGAGACACAGAAAAGCACCAGTTCTTTTGTTTCAAGCAAGTGCGTTATCTTCATGACCTCCTTGTTTCTGGTATTGCTACCAGGATACCTTTATTCCTTAACCATTGTGAAAGAAAGCAAGTGGGTGGTTGTGTTTTGGGGATTGTTTCCATCTACCTGTTGCTTTAATCCACTGTGGATTTTTTATTCCAAAGCTTAGTAACAACAGATTTCCAGGAGAAGTCTTATTAGTTCTTTGACTCCCTCTCTCCCTCTGATCTGTTTGATTGGTAACAGTGAGAATGAATGAAATGCTTGTTTTCTGTCCTTCCACCATAGTATGTTTGGGTCAGTTTCAGGACCCTCATTTTCATGTCCTGAAGCAGAAAATTAGCTTTCTCTCACAGCATTTCCATTTCTCCGTCCTGTCTGGGCATTCTTTTACACTTCTACAGTACCCTGTGCATGCACCCATTATGGCATATGTCACATTGTTTTGGAGTTTTGCACAGTTGGGCCCACCCTCTCTAAATAAACTGCATGTTTAATGAGAGCACGACATTTCTGCTACACAGTATAGTGCTTAGCAGTGGTGGTTGGGTGATTGGATAGAATAATGAATGAAGTGGCCTTAAAGAGACCTGTCCTTATGATCCCATTATGTGTGTTTTCCTCTTGACCGTATCTTTTATCATTTTTACATTTCTGCTACACAGTATAGTGCTTAGCAGTGGTGGTTGGGTGATTGGATAGAAGAATGAATGAAGTGGCCTTAAAGAGACCTGTCCTTATGATCCCATTATGTGTGTTTTCCTCTTAATTTCTTTGTATTTTGATCACTTGAACTTTAATAATATGAGTTATGCTTCTGCATTCAAACTTTTTAGCAATATAGTAATAAAATTTCCTTTGAAGACTAAAGATTATATGCCATCCGTGTTTTGTTTTGTTTTGCCACAAGTAGATGAAAAAACAAATGAACATGGTTAACTTGCAACCCTGAGATTGAGGTTTTTTTGACATAATAAAGTAGTAAAATCCTATATTTTTCGGCTTGCTTTTGTAAGTTAAAAAGTTAGGTTTGAAATTTTCAAATTTTCGTATATTGATTAAGTGGAACAGATTCAAAAGAGGGGAGGTAGTTCTTTTAAGATAATAAGAAGGATATGTTGTTATTGTTGAAGGATATGTCTGGATTATTATTGCAACTATAAGCAACTCTTCAGATTGTTTTTAAGGCTTTCTTTTTCTTTTCCTTTACAGGACCTCTTTGTTGTTAGACATGAATTGGCCATAATGAGACTAGCTGCCTTTATGGGCATTACTATGTTAGTTGGAATAACTGGACTCTTTTATACTCAACTAATTGGCATCATCACAGTAAGTTTATTTTTAATGTAAAGTAATGTATTTATGAACATATTATCTAATTATGAACTTAATTCAAGAGTTACAGAAAGTTTAGAAATCAAAGGAGAAAATTACCCATAATTTTTTACGTATTTCCATTTTCATATGCCTGTGTAATTTTAAAGTAATTATAAACAGGTACAGAGTGTACGTGCAATTTTGTATCCTGCTTTTAAAAATTAACAGAGTATTTTTTATATGCCTACAGACTTTGTGTTTATACTTTTAACAGCTGCATATACCCTGTTTAGTGAATACATCATATTTTAATTAACCATTTTCCTGTTGATTGGCATTCAATGTATAACCATTTTTTTCTGTTACAATTAATACTACTTTTAACATCTTTTTTTTCTTTAAACTATTTATTTAGGGTAAACTCCCCAAAATGGAGTTGCTGGTAGAAACATTTTATTAGTAATTAAGTCTTTTTTTTTTTTGGTTGTATTTATTGATGTGCAAACTAACTTAAGTGATTGCCATTGTTTATCTGGGATGTCTGAAAGGCTGACTGACAGCTCCTTGTTTTATGATATTTGATATGAAAAAATCTTGAAATAATGTCATATCTATTTTTTATACTTTTACATAAAAAATATACTTATGAATAATATTTACTTATTTATTTCCCTTTTTCATTAATACTTACATAGGACTAAGTAATTTTTTCACACAATCTATTGGAATAATTGTATCAAACACATGGAAGTATCATATTAGGTACTAATACCCTCATAGGCACCTCTGTTTCATGAGCTTAGGCTACAGGTATAGAAGTAATGAGAGGTAAGATTGAAAATAGACATTGTGGTACCTGTCTTTCATTATAATTAGCCAAACTGGGTTATTTTATCAAAACAGAAAAAATTTTAAAAATGAGAAAAATTTTATTAAGGATTAAAAAGAGAATACACTGAATTTCAGAAGATATAGGGCAAATAGGCTTTCTCATACATTATTGGTGGAAATGTAAGTTGATATAAACTTTTTGGAGGGCAGATTCTCAATATCTGTCAAAATTTAAAAGGCACAGCCCTTTTGACCATCCTCTACAAATTTATTTTGTAGAGGCTATATATAGGGCAAATAGGCTTTCTCATACATTATTGGTGGAAATGTAAGTTGATATAAACTTTTTGGAGGGCAGATTCTCAATATCTATCAAAATTTAAAAGGCACAGCCCTTTTGACCATCCTCTACAAATTTATTTTGTAGAGGCTATTTATTTACATGTATGTAAACATGTATGTTAAAAAGGTCTCCAGCATTATAGTATATGTAACATGTATGGTGTACAAAAATGTTTATCAGAATATATACAGTGAAAAAAATATAGTAGGAAAAAACTCATCAAAACTTCTGTAAAGCGTCAAGAGAGTGTACTACTGGCATATAAGAGTAGAATAGAAAAATGAAATAGAATTGAGTCCAGAAATATATATATGTGTGTTTGTATATGTATATATTTTCAGTAGATTTTCAGCAAGGGTGCAAAGACTATTCAATGGAGGAAAGAATTGTCTTTTGAACAAATGTTGCTGGTTGGACTCCTACTTCTCACTGTTTAAACAAATTAACTCAAAATGGATCATGGTCCTAAATGTAAGAGCTAAAATGATAAAACTCCTAGTAGAAAACATAGGAGTAAATTTTGGTGGCCTTGAATTAGGCAATGGTGTCTTAGATAGGACACCAGAAGCTCAAACCACCAAAGGAAAAAATAGATAAAATGGACTTAATCAAAATTATAAACTTTTGTGCTTCAAAGGACACTATCAAGAAAGTGAAAAGACAACTTAGTGAGAGAAAATATTCACAAATCATATATCTGACAAGGGACTTGTATCTAGAATATATAATAAATTCAGTGATAAGACAACCCAATTAAAACATGGTCAAAGGATTTCTCCAAAGAAGATATACAAATAAAAATAAACACATGGAAATATGTTCAACCTCATTAGTCATCAGGGACATGCAAATCAAAATCATGATGAAATACTACTTCAAACCCACTAGGACAGCTATAATTAAAAAGGCAGACAGTAACTGTTGGCAAGAATGTAGAAGAATCAGAACCCTCATTCCGTGCTGCTAGTGTGAACATAAAATGTTACGCCACTTTAGAAAAGAGTTTGGCAGTTCTTTAAAAAGTTAAACATAGAGTTATCATTAGACTCAGCAGTTCCACTCCTAGAGAAATGAAAATGTGTGTCTACATAAAAACTTGCACGTGTATATTTATAGCAGCATTGTATTCATAATAGCCTAAAAATGAAAGCAATCTAAATTTCCATTATTTGATGAATGGATACGTAAAATGTGGTATATCCATACGGTGGAATATTATTCAGCCATGAAAATATAAATATGAAAAGAAATGAAGTACTGATACGTGCTGTAACGTAGATGAACCTTGAAAACATTATGCTTAATGAAAGAAAACCATGTTTGTATGATGATTCCATTTATATGAAATGTCCAGAATAGGCAGATATACAGAGACAGGAAATAGATTACTGGTTGCCTAGGGCCGGGGGGCTGGGGATGATAGCTAAAGGGTGCAAGGTTTCTTTTATGGGGTGATGAACATGTTCTAGAAGTGGAGTTGCTGGGTCATGTGAGATCGGTTTATCTTTTATGAGAAACTACCAGCCCTTTTATTCAAAAGGTTGTACCATTTTGCATTCCCACCAACAATATATGAAAATTCTTGTTGCTTCACATGCTTGTCAACATTTATTTTGTCAGTCTTTTATAGTTATTCTGGTGGATTTTAATTGTAATTGTATCTTGTTTTAATTTGCATTTCCCTGATGACTAATGATGTTGAACCCTTCTTCTCATGTGCTTATTGACTGTTAATGGAAATTTGTAAAATGTCTGAATATGTATTTTTATTTTTCAGCATGATATATTTTTCTAATATTCCTTGTGATTTCTCTACTGATGATGATGATGATGATAAATAATGTGATATTAGTAACAATACCAAGGATGAGAGCAAGTCTTCCCCTAAAATCTTTTTCTCTACTTATATGCTAGTTCATAAATACTTTATAATAATGAACTTCTAGTACATAACTTCTGTCAAAATTGCCAGATTATGTTTGCATCTTTTGAATTTCCACTTTTGAAATAACCAAAATCATTCATATATACTTATATCCCTGTAACAGGATTTTTCACATTTCCCCAAATTCATGCATTTGGGAACATCACTGCTAAGAGTACAAGTTGTTTAAGAGGTCCATCAGGGATTTATAGCTGAGAGTAAGTTTTCTTGCTGCCTAACAGCCCCATTAGTCTCAGTAGGGTTTGGTAGCAAAGGTTTCAAGATCTTTTGAGGATTTCTATTCTAAAAATGTTAGCATTTTCTCTTCTGAGATGGATATAACTTATCTATTGTTTTTGTTGGTTTTAAAGGATGTATATCAGGTTTCATCCTAACTCTTTTCCATTCTACTAAGTTAATATTTATTCTCAAATTGCACAGTTTTCTTTTTTGTTATAATATTGAACATTTCATTGTATTAAGATAGGGAGATTGAGTTATGATGTGATATTTCTAAAACTGAGTAAGGACCACATTTGTTAAATAATGCTCTCTCCAAATGTTTCATTTCTTTCTGTATATACATATAGTACCTCTCAGAACAATGTATTAGACAAGGCTTATGTCTATAGAAATTATACATTTGTGAAACATTCAAAAAGAATGCAAGTATTAAGAAAGAGAATGTATTCTATTTGTTAGTCTAATTTTTAGTCACTATAGTTCCTCTTGAACACAAATACTTTTAAAATTTACAGTAAATTTTAATTCCATTTACCTAGGCTTTCATATTAAACCCCAAGCACTACTCTTTCTGGATTAAAAAAATAAAATAAAATAAAGGGTTTTCAGAATGTATTCCTCCCCACATTGATTTAAGGTTTTTAAAGGCTTAATTAAAGGGGCCGGCCCGTGGCTCACTCGATAGAGTGCGGTGCTGATAACACCAAGGCCCCGGGTTCGGATCCCATATAGGGATGGCCGGTTTGCTCACTGGCTGAGCGTGGTGCTGACAACACCAAGTCAAGGGTTAAGATCCCCTTACCGGTCATCTTTTAGGAAAAAAAATAAAAAATAAAAAAAAATAAAGGCTTAATTAAGGCTGTTATGCATTCACTGTGTAATTTTAAATCTTATGAATTATTAGCATTTAAACAAAACAATATATAGTATTTTAACTAAAATTAAAAATATAGATTATGTTTACTTTATAAAATACATTTTGTGTTTTATTTTATGATAATATTAAGATTACCTACAGGAAATATCCCACTGGGCATATCCCACAAGCCATAATCTGAATCCATTGCTCTCTCTTACACTGTGAAAGAAGTGATGAATTTGTCAGGTAGTATAAGAAAGAAAAGAGTGAGAGCAAGAATCACTTTAAATTTAATCCTTCCACTAACGTCTTCTCCTTCCCCTGCTCCTGCACCTCAAAGATCCATGAAGCATTTTGGGAAAACTCTAGTAGAGGTGTCATTTCATTAAATAAACTATGTAATCACATAGCTTGAATATGAGGGGTCTTCAAAAATTTATGGAAAGATTCATATTATCTTTTAATTCTATTTTTCTATGAACTTGAAGTACCCTCATATAGGCCTGTTAGAGAACAAACAAGCAAGACAAATGCTATCTCTTTTTAGGTGTGGCTTGAGGTTTTGGGGAAGCAGAGTATCCATTCTCAGTATTTTTTCCCCATTATTTATTCTTAGTTGGAATAAATAAATAATTTCTCTCGTTTATAAGAGGAAAAATCACATCTTTTTATTGATAGTACAAGGTAACAGGATAATCATAGCAATGATAATCTGATGTCATTTTAGACCTAGCAAAAGTAGATTATCTGTGACCTAGAAAAAATAATTAGAAATTACTTAAACTTAAAAATAGTGGATTTCTAATCTTATT